TCTTGAGTTGCTATTCTTACATTACGTTAATCATCACTCACTTAGTTGAATGAGGCTTGTAATTGTACTACACCTGTTACTTTTTTGGGGTGTTTCAGCAGCTGTATGCGTTTATTGTATGCTCTGTGTTTTCATGGTATTAAATAATTGCAACAGGATAAGAAAAAAAAAGTTATGACACTTTGCAGACTTTATAATCAATTTTTCTTTACGAGTATGATCTTTGCTGGGATGTCTCCAATTGGCATCCGTATTTGTAATATGGTTGGACAGTCTGGTGGCCCTTCTCCAGTGGCTCCTTGTGTTATGCAGAACTAGCAATCACACAACATTTATGTAATATAGTTTCTCATTGTTACTGTGATTTGATTTAGTTACCTTAGCAAATTGTTTGCTTTTTTTGAGCATGTAGGGTGACAAGGATAAGAAAATTGAAGAGCTTACTGAAGAGTTGGAGCATCAGGAGCAATTATGTGCAACTTATCGTGAAAAACTACTTAGTTTTATGAATAATGTTGAGGAGCAAACAGAAGAACTGGCTTCAAAAATTCAAGCTATTGTTGAAGATGTCAGGAAAGTTGAATCGGAAGTGCAAAAATTTTCCCACCGCAGATAGCGTTGGCATTTAACGTAAGTGTTTACTACTGGTCATGAAAGCTTTTGATCATTCAGAATGTGTCTTACAATCATTTTATTTTGCTTGAGATGTTTAACCTTCAACTCAGTAACATTATTCATTAAATGCAACATAAAATGTCTCTCTAAGGCGTGCACCCACACTCTGTCCAGAGCATGTCTGTTGGCTATGATAACTAAATTATTTCTATCTCGATCAGCTGGTAGATAACAAAAATAGACGAGTCAAGCATCTGGAAGGCGGGGAACTGGAGCAGCCCAAATGGAGTTAGATCCCCAGCTCATGCATCGGAACTTCGTGGCTATTGTGGTTATGCCTGCAGAATAGCTGAAATATACACTAAGTTGCTACACAAGATAGCCTTAATTGAAGAATAAGCATAAATTGACTATTGCGATTCTTCCAACTGTATAGCAATCTTCTTTATTAAACTCGTAGAGATATGTCTGCTAATATAGCTGGTGATTTCTGGATGTCTGTGTGATAAGTTAACGCGATAGGTGCTTAGGATCAGTGCTGAAACACTGGGGAACCATATCCTGGTTAGTGACACACAAGAAACGAACATTGGTTTCAATGGCCCTGGAGGCTAAAATATATATGTTTTACCTGCCTATATGGTCAAATAATGTGCTACTTTCTGTTATATACTTGACGTAATGCATCTCAGGTTCTCCAAGCTAGGAACTTTCTGCCAATAGACTGCTGGTAAACAGGTGACGAGGCTTGCGCCGACGAGCTTGTAACTCAACAAACATTTATTTCCCTCTCCTCCTAGATAAAACGGCATGCCATATAAGTTTTATATCAATTCTTTGTGTCTTTCCTTATTTATAATGTTCAGGAACGAGTTTCCTTCTTCCTTTCTGTCCACGAAGGACATTGCCCGACATTGGACGTTCATCTAATGAGCTGCAAATATGCTTATGATGAGGGATAAAAATAAAAATAAAAATAAAAAAGGCTTTTGACATTGTCTTTGTACAACAGGAGAACTGATAACAAACCAAAGAGCTTGCAAATAAGTAATGATAGTCTCCTACTATGGGTTAGGGGATTAAATAATAGCAGATTAATTTTGTTAGGAGCATTTACGTGAGTTTGGTGTGTGAGTTAAAACACGCGCGCGCGTACACACACACACACGCGCACACATATATATATATATATATATATATATATAACAATTTGAAGGCATAAAAAATTTGCAATTTACAAAATTGGATTTGGAATAATTGAAGTGAAAAAGGAAAGTCAACGTCTTGCTAGCAGTAACATTGGGAAGAATATTTTTTTTTTTTCCAATTTTTGGACGGGCGGGCCCAAGGCAAGTGAAATTAAAACTAAAGGTGTTGTAGGCCCAAGAAGCCCAGCCCAGGAAATAAAAAAAAACAAAACAAAAAAACAAAAAAAACAAAGGGAGGTGATCATCGCATACACCAGCGGTGCATCATGATAGAGCTGCCGCTTCAACACTCTGCAATCCTAGGGTTTTTACTGCTTTTGCTGGTACGTTCATCAACACGTTCATTTTCATCTTTAAAAGAAACTAGTTAGTTGCTTACTTTTTCAACATTTTCCTTTTGGTTACCCGGAAAAGAAGAAGAGAAATTTCTGGATGAAATAGTTAGGCTAGAATGTTTTCAATTTGCATAATTTTTTATTTTTGCCTTGAGAAATTATATTGTTTAGCTTTTGCCTTTAAAATGAAACCTGAAAGGCTGAACATTCTAAATTATTTTTGAAAATAATCTGGGAAATGGAGTAATTTTATTTTGCTTTCCTCTATGTAGTTGATGGATGGATGAATGATTAGCTTGTCTAAATTTGAAGAGAACAATGGACAGCTTTTCTAATCAACCATTTGATTCTGACGAAGCGGAAAGGTGTTTTGAAGTTGAAAATTATGATGAACATAAGTTTGCAGATGATGATGAGCTTTCAGAAAATATTGAATTGTGTATAGGTGAGGTTGACAAGATCATAGAACAGTCTGGTGAAACTTTACTTCCAATAAATGATGTTATAGAACCCTATATTGGCATGGAGTTCAAGTCAAGAGATGATGCTCGAGAATTTTATATTGCTTATGGACGGCATATAGGTTTTACTGTGCGTATTCATCATAACCGGCGCTCTCGAATAAATAATATGGTCATTGGTCAGGATTTTGTATGTTCAAAAGAAGGCTTTCGTGAAAAGAAATATGTATACAGGAAAGATAGAGTTCTTCCTCCACCTCCTGTCACCCGAGAAGGCTGTCATGCAATGTTAAGACTTGCTTTAAGAGATGGGGTTCGGTGGGTTGTAACCAAATTCATCGGAGAGCACAATCATGCATTGATGTCTCCTAGTAAAGTACCATGGCGAGGATCTGCAAAAAGTTTGGTCAGTGAGGTATGTCATCTTTCTTTCAAGGCACTTTCCATAAGCACTCTTCTGCCCACTTGTCGTCTGCGGCATCAAACCACCATACTCCAGTTTTGCTTAACCTCAATGGGCTGCTTGAAAATACTTTGTATTCAACCACAGTAGTGAATACACACGCCTCAGTTAGACACTAGCTCTGTCATTGCAAGTGCAAAGACCTCATGGATGTTTAAACTATAGAGTAAAGTTGTATATAATATGAATATGATTGAACTATTTGTTGCAATTTGTCACAAGCAATTTGATTCAGTGCTGCAGTCCAAAAATCATGTGCGTCAGTTGTGATTAAGAATATGAAGTTGATGTCCAGTTGCTCAGCAGACTAATTTAGATTAGTCTCAGCTTGGTGTTTGGTCTTTTAAGGCACAGTTAATTGGGGAACATATGTTTAATGAGAACTGGATGTTGTAGTGGATACATACTGTTGTTGTCATTAATCTGTATCCATAGATTTGAAGATGATCTTGGACAAAGATTGGTGAACCTTCATTGCTCTCCTTTTAATGAACCACTGAAGGCAAATACTTCCCTTGCTTGTTTAACTCTTTTTTTTTTTTTATCATATTTGATTTGTTTCCCCTTTAAGAAGTTATTTTACTTCCCAGGATGAAAAGGATCGAAGAATACGAGAACTGACTATTGAGCTAAACAATGAGAAGCAACGATGTAAACGTAGGTGTGCAGCTTATCAGGAACAATTGCGCATGGTGTTGTCATATGTTGAGGAACATACTATTCACTTGACAAATAAAGTTCAGGATATTGTTAACAATGTGAAAGAACTCGAAAATGAGGAGATGGAAGATTCAAATTGCAAATATGGCTAGAATAACCAATTTGCACATTCTTTTCCTTTTGCCACTTTACTGGTATATTTAGTCATATTTAACTTGGATCATTGAGAATACCATTCACTGTGAGTTGCTACCATTGCAAGCCAACAGTCAATTTTTTTGTTTGTTGTATCCCTTCTCTTTCATTTCATTTGAGCAGGAAATTCTAGATAGTCTATTACAGTTTTGGAGAGTGATTATGTTTTGAGACAAACATAAGAGCGGAATGATCTGTTCCTCGTATTGATTGAATCATTACGTTGCATCTTTTTCTTTCTTTTGATAATTAACAGTTATGTTGACTGCCATTCCTAGAACATCTTAGGCTGTCCATTCGTCCATGTGACTAGCAGGTGAAGATCCCACCGGTTACAGTAGCTGGCTCTCTCTCTCTTTATATATATACATATATATAGCTGGACAACAGAATCACTGAATCCATCATGATGTGCAAGTGTAGGCAACTCTGCAAGCCAGACGACAGTGCTAACACTTCTTGGAAACAAGGTGTAACATCCTGGAGAAATTCTACAGTGGCCGTTTTGTTTACTAACCAGAGTATGGTTTCCCAATAGACCAACCTGATTCTTCTCAAAAAGAATTTCAGCTGCAGAGGTAATAATTGTAAGAATAATGGAAGATCAGTAAATGTCATTGGAGGAAAACATCCAAAAATTTGTTTCAAGCTGGCAGCACGAAGAGTGGCGGAAGCAAACATTAGCTCGAAATTGCTGGACTTGAACCTGGTATTTCTAGTATTATTTATAAGCCGACCTGTACGTTTGAGGCACAAGCAACTGAATGACAATCGTGGAACCATGTTGGGAAGATGTAATTATATGGAAGAAGGAACCAGAATAACTGTTTCCGAAGTTTGAAGTTCTGTATACATTTAAATCAGAAAAGCTACAACGTAAAATTTAAAACACATTTTCTACGCATGTTTATCAAAATGGGTTTAAACCAGAAAAAGAAAAAAGTGTAATGCCCTTCGAATGCTGCTAGGCTTCACTTGTGAACTAAAAAATTACCAGAGGAGAAAGCAGAGTAAAGAACCCTATCATTTGGAATGATGACCGCTATAATAAGGCAGTCGTCTCCTACCTCTTCTTTTTCTTTAAAAGAGAAGCAGCACGGAGAAACATGCGATCAACCTCATCAAAGGAAGGTGAATTGACATCTTCCCCTGTAGGTATATCCACATCTTTCCCTGATGTTCGTGCCTTTTTCGAGCATAGAGATATTTTGCGCAGGTGCTCCTCAAAATCTTCAGGCTCTCCATCAGATTCAACTGAGAACTTTTCAAACTCTTCCAAATAAAGAGGACGTTTTGCTGTCTCCTCTGTGTCTGTGTCAGAGTCAGTCTCAAAAATGTCTGATAGATCTTCAGAGTCTGATGCAATTCCTAAGTCCGTATCAGGACCATCCTCAGAACGCTCCTCTTGCCTACCAATGATTTCTTTCAGCTTTTCTGAATTCTCCAATTGCCTGCTTGAAATGCTCCTAGATTCTGCACCATCAATGTCAGACTCAGGGGAGTTTTTGGCAGCTTCAGTTCTATTTCCAACTTTTCCTTCAGCCCGTGCTTGAAGTAACTCAAGGTCCTGCTGGAGTCTTGGTATGTACCTCCTGAGAGCCCTTAGACCATCCCTGCATTTTGACTTATCCAAAGCCTGCATAAGGTTTAAGAGGAGAGAAGAAATTAGCATAGGGAACGCAAGATCTGAGGCTTTAAGCTCTTAATAAGATAAAAGTAATACCCAGTTGGATTTTGTGCACTTTGCGTGGTTTCTACATGAAAGCATAAATTAATGATACTAGATATTCATCCAAACCCAATTTCATAATCATTCATTAAGGCCTTAAAAAATAAAATGAAAAGGGAAAAGAACCTTTTTTCTGGAGAGAGTGACCCTGGGTGACATGATCTCTGTTGGTGGTTGGGAATAGTTCTTCCCTCTGTACATGATTATTGTGTTCTCCTCCTGAATATCTAGCACAATCCCTCCAGTCAATTGTGCCAGTTCAACAGCCATCTCCTTGACTTCCTCTGGCGTGAATGTCTTTACCACCACTTTCAAAGTCTGATGTTTCTTCCAGTGCAAGTGCATGTTAAGAATCACACCCTGGTATATTCCTCGTCTACCGACAGGCACATAATTCTTGCACTTAATGCCCATCTTTAAAAAGAAGAAGTGCTCTTCTGGAGTCAATATCTCTGGATCATGAGTTGCGTCTGATGATTCTTTCGGTTCAATCTTTTTCAAAGCTTGAACAAGCCTTTCTTCTTTCCTTTGAGCCTGCAGAAAAAACAAGCTAACCCTCAAACACATTGAAGGGAGATCACAAGAGCTATACTTCAGCCATTTTGGAACAAACTCAAAAATTCAACTGCATAGTAAACCTCCGCACCAGCCCACCCCAATTCCCGGACCAAAACGTACGAAAAACACAAAACCATAACATACAACAGAAGAATATTAGTAGGAAACTACTAAACCAGAATACATCCTTCGCATGGCTTCTATCACAAATATGGTTAATGCAACTCAAAATAGAGAAAATAACAATGAGTTTGAATTCTCCTAATCCATTATACTCACTATATTTCACATTAAAGCAAGAAAACCAAAACTCACCGTTCTCAACTTGTATAAAATTTGTTCTTCGGCTGTCATCCTCTCATACTCTTTCTTCTTCTTCCACCTGAAGAACTTTAACCACCTCACAACCGCTCGTTTTCCTTTGAGCTTTGGTCTCTTCACTCTTATATCACTACCACTAAAGACCGCTGCGGTTTTCTCAGAGTTGTCTGTTGGCTCCACAAGTTTGTCAACATTGTTTAGAGATGGGCATGCGTGAATCCATAAATGACCCACCGAAGGAACAAGATGCCCTTTAACGTTATAAACTGGTCTCTGACCAAAAGCCTTGAACATCACATCAACCAAACTACTAAACCATGAGTTTGATTAATCTTCACTATATTTTTTAAGTTTACTGAAAATTGAAAAATTCATACCTAACTAAGAAATACTTCAGGCAAAATTTCTGTTTTTTTTTTTTTCTTTTCCAGAATTCAAGAAAACAAAAAAGAAAATGAAAATGACAGAAGCTGAAATGAAATGCACACTTCACAGCCTAAAATTCATTAACCTAAACTAAAATTTTGAAAAAAATATATATATATAAAGAAAGAAAGAGCAAATATACAGACAATACAAGGGAAACACAAGGGGAGAGAGTTACCTGGTTCTATAAAGATGTGAATCGGAGGAGATTGTAAAACGATCAGAGAGTAAATTCTTGAGGTGGTGGGATTTGCAGAGACCATGTGATGCTGAAGTTATAAACCTCTTCACCACCATTTTTATCTTCTCCACTCCCCGTCAGTCACAGCTACTCCGTTCTGTCGACCACCGGTTGCCTTCACAGAATTTCATTTCATCGACGAGTAATGGGCTATTTAGCCAAGAATACGCGATGGGCTCCAAGTCCATAAATAGGTAGCCCCGCAGCAACAGTTTAGGCCCAGTACATTGGCTGCTGCTCTTATTCTTGCATCGCAATGCTCTTCTTTGTTCATCCTTATTAGACGACAATGGTGTATATGTTGTTAAAAAGTACTTTCTTATTATCATCGAATCAAAATAAAATAAATTTATTAAAGAAAGATTGTAACTCTACCAACATTCTGATTAGAAAAAAATTGCTGTGGCAGCCACCTGAACAATATTACACATCCGATATTTCTACCTATTTTCTTTATGAACAACTGCAAAAAATGAAGCCTAACAAAATTCTGGCAATATTAATGTGGATCATATAGCAAGAATTCTTGCCACTTCAAATCATTTTTATAAAATTGCTACCTCATCCTCCAGAAAAACAAATGACCATCAAAAGCGAAAACATCGATCACATAAAAACTGCAATAAATAAATAAATAAGAAGAAGAAGAAGCAGCAGCAGCACCTTGTAGTCCATATGGAAACCCGCGAAAGACACACATATTTGTATATTGTTTGAAATAAAATGATACAAGAGGCAATAGTGTCCTGCAAAAGGGTATCCTCTAATCTCTTAAATGAAAATATTAATATATTTTTTTTTCTTTTTGTCTCTATGAATATTATTAACTTGAACCTAGGGCAGCAAATCCACCACCTTTCATCATTTGCTTGAACTCCTTGAAGTTGACCATCCCATCTCCATCCACATCCACCTTCTTTATCATTGTCTTGCAATCTTCTAAAGTTCTTCCTTGCTTTAGCCCCAAGGATGACAAAACTGACTTTAACTCTTCCACTGTAATAAAACCGTCTCCGTTTTGATCGAACACGTTGAATGCTTCTCTCATGTCCTCCTCCTCGTCTCTCTCGTCCATTATCGTTTGATATAATGCACCGAATTCTTCAATATCTACGTACCCATCTCCGTTGACGTCTATCTTCTCTATCATTTGGATCAACTCTTTATCCGGTATGTAGATGCCCAAGTTTTTTAACGAGTCACTTAGTTCTTTCTTTGTGATCTGCCCATCTCCATTCTTATCAAACATTTGAAAAACCCGACGTAGCTCTGCCGGATCCATAATAACTTCAAACCAAACCTAAAAAAGCAACAACGCAAAATGATTGATATATGTATGGAGAAATTAACCTAATTAAACTTTTTTCTTGTCCTAGCTAGCCTGAGAAATCATTTAAAGACTAAGAGAAGAGGAAAAGTGAAGAAAAGAATTGAATAGAAGAGAGGTGGTGACGAAATCTCGATTGGTGTAGCTAGGGCTAAAACATGTGGGGGTGTGAGGAAAGAACTAGATGGAAGAAGAAGGTCGTATATTAAATAAGGAAATTTTCTTGGCAGAAAACGGTGAGAAAGGTGACAAACAAAAATGAATAGTGATTACATAGAATGAATGAAAAAGGAATTAGAGTCTAAAAAATAGGAGAAACTCCCCTTCATCATCGTAATATCATTGCTTGTTTGATAAGTATTAGGCTATTTTTATGGTTTCTTTGTTGTACAAGAGTTGTTGATTAAGTCCAACTGGCTGGTTCTATGTTGGCACTACTATTCTTAGCATGGAGCCAATCCATTGTTTTAGGTTATTCATATTATGAAAAATGAAGCTAGTTACTTATTTGTGGATCCATAACAAACAAAATTTAATTTCATTAGATGTATAATCTGTTAGAAAACGAATCAAGCAAAAGAATATAATAGAAAGATAAACATAATCACATAATATAAATATTTTACGTGATTCGACAATTATGTTTACTCTGCAGCTATACTAAGATTTATTATTAGGTTTTGTCAAATGATGGTTAAAAATATAAATATGCTACCTCTATTTACAAGTATGGATAACTAGAGTTACAAGGAAAAAAATATATATATATCTAACAGGTCTATAAATCTTGTTTAATATTCTGTAGATTTTTCAAGAACTCGCTCCCGAGTCTTCGCAAAAGACACTGCCCTCTTGACCCTAACTCACTAACCAGCTAGCAAGATCATTGTATGGGATCCGTATAGCGTCTTATACTCGCGAAGCCATATTAATATCAATCTCTACAACTTAATATAATCAATATTTGCAATATATCGTTAATCATAAAATATATCTATATAAAGGTTTTCTGTTTGCTATCCTCGGTAGTTTCAAAAGGATAGCATGGAAATTACAATTTTTTTTTGTATCATAAGGTCCATGGACTTTGATCTATACAATGATCATGGAAATAGTTTTTTTATTAATTTTTATTACATAATAATCAAATAAGCTAAAGTTATTGAAATTTGAATCTAATTAATTAATTAAAAAAAATGCTCACACACAATTAAGCATAAGCGATTAGTGCAACGTGGAGTACAAGCTGGTGAACAAATTAAGCATATTGGGAAATTCTTAAGCTATATACCACTGACTTGATACCGGCAAGGCCTGCGATTTTATGCTCAAAGCTTAACTCAGCTCATTATACCATCAAGGAAAAGGGAAATTTTGTTCATTTAATATCAAGTTCATTGGCTTTTCACATTTTGATTGGTCAAGATACGTGGAGTTATGGAAAAATGCATGGTGACTTCTATAATGCCGTTGCATTACAGTTTCGATGCCGTTTTAAATGTTATGAAAAAATGTATGAATAACAACGGTGATTAAAGGAAGCAGCGGTTAGCAGAATTATATCAAATTTTCGAGAATACTCATTGTGTGTCGATATAACATTTTGTTAATTCCTTTAAAATAATCTATTTCTAGCCATTGAATTACTTCATGTTCTTATGTTTTTTTATATATTTCCATTTGCTCTGTTATTTATTTATGTATTACTGTTTCTCTTTTTCATTTTTCTACACATCATTTTGCCAATTGAAGCACTACACAAAAGAACAGACGTTTTGGTGAATTGTATGATTTTATCCAAACAATACACCCCGATGACCCGCGGGTCTAGATTCTTCTCCTGTGGTTCAGTGAAGTTCGATAGGACTCTTTACTCCTTAGATTAATAAAAATAAACAAGCTAACGAAGGTCTGTCGATTAGTCAATCACCCATTCCATTTTTTGTGAATTGTACCCGTAGTTTAACTTCACTCTGCTGGTGATTAATTTCCCGGACAGGGTTCCACCGGAAAAGCAGGAATCGTCCAATAATTTAACCTTTAGTGTATCAAAATACATGTTGGTACTCTTAACAGAGTTGACAATTCAAAGTCTCAAACCTCTTTCATTAGGCAAGCAAAAAGAATTAAAAAAAAAAAGTAATGTAATCCAGTCATGTGCCCATACGATCACGGGATTAAAGATCATATGGGCGAGTTAGCTGGACTTACAGAAAGTAATAGTAATAAAACTTTCCATTTTTTTTTTTTAATTTTGCAAACGAAGAAATTGCCTCAAAACATTTAATTGTTTGGGGACAGAGTGCGTTTGCGGACTTTGTTTGTTCAAAATATAAAACGAAAAAAAATCAGAAGAGATGAGATGTGATGTGCCAGCAGGTAAAGGGCCTGAAAAATCAGGGGAGACATCAGATTCAGGCGAGTGATACTGGCTGAGTCATCTATATCGCAAGTTTCGTAATAATAAATTGCCTAGATCGTTTTATTTCGAGATCCAGGCAAGAAGCTGACTTGCTTTACTATTTCTATCAGATAATAACTAAATAAAGCATCAGCAAATGTTAAGAAGAACAGGACTTACCGTACCTTACTGTAAACTAAGGGGCAGGCGTATTACACAGAGACAGAGAAGCAGGAGGTGAGGAAGACGGCAGCGGACGAAGTATTTATAGAGATGGTGAAGATTGGGAATTAGGGTTTTAAGGATGCAAATTGGGGCTTCTGTCATTTTGTTAAGTGGACCAATGACACCTGTAAGGCCCAAAGCTTAATAAAGCTGGGTTCTGAACTTTGTTCTTAGGAGAGAACCCCAGGCTCGCCTATTCCTCTCAGTCTGTTTTATTTATTTATTTATTTATTATTATTAATTTGGATAAATCCTCTCAGTTTGTGTTGCTATTGTTATTATGGTTTAACCATAAGCAAAAATATAATAAAATGATGAATTTAATCAGCCAAAAAGATAGTGGTAGGCAGCATGCCTCCTAAATTCCTGTTTATTTTTCATAATATATAATTATGTAAAATGCGTTGTATTTGTATATGTCTTATGTTTATTGAGTTAATACATAGGTACTTTAATGTGGTAAAAGACTAGGTCTACTTAGCAATTTTATCATAATTTAGACATACAAAAAGCTTCTATAGAAAGGTGAGTTGTACTGAACACCACAATACGTGTTTTAAGGAAAGATTGTAAAATAAAATCGACTCATGGGTCCTTATTGTATCTGAAATTCCTTTGATCCATTTAACGAGAGGGAAGTCCAATCATGTTCATTGAAATTAGACATTGAAACATGCTTTTGGACTATTTTAACATGGATAATAATGCTACTATAAAAAAAACTTGAGTTTTTCAGAAATTATTATTATTTTTTTTATGTGGTAGATGAGATTTCAAATCATGAAATGTGAATCTTATCACAGTTTATGATACTGTGGTAATTATAAAATATAGTAAGTAATATATAATCAATAATGTACGACCATATCATTTAATAAAATAATCTTAGTAAAAAATAAGTATTTCTAGCTTTATATCCTTCCTTCCAACATTCCTGAGTGACAATCATCCGCCTGGAGAAGCAGAGAGAGTGCTCCACTCGTTCAACTGCTTTCAAATGAGGCAAAGTATAGCCGTGGTACGTTTGATTTTTATGGTTGTTGATCTCCTAACCTCCCTTGAGTATTTCCAGTGCTACAGACGAAGCAAATAACGACATGCTTAGAAATGGAAGGACAACTTTCCCAACACCATCATAAAAGGCTTGAAAAGCCAATGTCACAAGAAAATATCACTGCTGCATGTGAATGGGCGACCAAAGAGTCTTCGTGTTTGCCTTTTGATTCTTTACATAATGTCTGATACAAAACAAGATGATAAGAAATGACAAGAAACAACTTCTAGCAACACTTTGAAGTACCAAATGCAACAAGGAACAACGAATCCTCCCATCTAAATTTACAAGAACATCAGGAAGCCAAGGCTACTAAAAGTGGGTTGAACTTGAATGAAAGAAACAGGCTCTAACTGAAAAAGATGTTCAGTGGATGCTTGGACGAATGGCCCCGGCAATAGGAAATGAGACTAAATGACACTTTTCTTCACCTCCCTTTTTTCGGGTGATAAAGTAAGGATTTCCAAAAGTAAAACTCTGACAATTTATTCATGAATGAGAAGCTAAAAATAGGGGTGGGAGACTGATGAAAAGGGGAGTGCACAAAGCTGTACGTTCTATATATCGTCCTCGTAGAATAGGAACCCGCATGGGTAAATTTAGTAGCAGGCTTGAGGACTGTTATTGGATTCCCCACCACACCCCCGGCGCGCTCGCACGCGCGATGAGTTGGTATTCTATATCCCATTAGCTAATGCTAAGATTCTCATTAATTTTGAGGCCAGAATCGCTTTAAGCTCTTGGACATTCCAAACTGATTCTGGCAAAATGACCAAAGCTCCTCCAATTTGTACTGCCATAAACTTGAAGGTCATCATATCTCTATTGCACAGATAATTGACAGCTGGGATCTTCCTCATGTTCATTTTCCATTGTATCATCAAATGAATAAATAAATAAAAGCAGGCAACCTAGGAGCCTGTAACAGCACAAGCAGCCAAAACAGAAACTCCCTAGACTGGATTGTGCTAGATGAGTTAGGTGATCGGCCAAGGTAAGACCTAATAAGGAGATAATCCCCACTGGTTAGAAATAACAAATTTTCTTTTACCCCTCAGCTGCAGTAGGAAATATGCTGCTCATGATTAAACACATCCAGTGTTCTGTCTTGCTTTAAGTTATTTGATGTACAATTCCAAAGATTTAAAACTCCTGTTTGCCCAGGACTTCTTTGGCAGCAGACACCATAGCATAAAAAATGTCAGTTGATCTTCAAAGAAGTGTACACAACCCGGAATTTCTAATGCTAAACTAAGAATTACATATCTCAAATTATGTGTGAATCTTGAACTTGGTTAATCTCAAAACACCAATTAGAATCTCAAGTAATGCCATAACCCTTTCAATGGAAAAAAATCATAAGAAAATCTAAAATTTACTGTTAAAAAGATTATGATCACAAACTTTAGAAGCAGCAATCAGGCCTTAAAAACAATCCTATTATATATATATATATATATATATATATATATATATATCAGTTTCTCAAAGTTCAGTCATTTAACTCAGTCCAGAGCATTTTTCTCGAAGAAACTCTACAATCACACTCACCTTCATTTGCTGACTATTCTAACAGACACCTCCTAATCCAACACTACAATTAAAATTCTCACTCCAATGTAGGAATTTCAATCAAGTTGCTCTTTAAAGATATAAAATCCAAGAGTCCCAACCTCTGCAACTGTATAAAATGGAACCTGATTAGATAACCACTGCCAGAGCTTCGCATATGGCAGTTCTAAACCAAAATGTCATTCCAAGATTCATAAAGGAAACCCGATTAAATAGACAAATAAGGCCCCAATTCAAGAAATCTACTTCCAAGCAACATGCTGAATGAACAAAGTTGAACCAATGTACAATCCAGATGACAAGTGATTCTAAATTTTCCTTCTTCTTTCTCTACTTCAAGGTAACTAGTTAGGTTTATACACCCAACCAACGATGCTCATCAAAGCCTTTGACAAATATCAAACCACAAACAATAACTTCGACTGGCAAGTTCAAGCACCAGCTAAATCTAATTAAATTCACACGGAAATGAAAAACATAAAGGTTCGTTTGAAAGGATAGGACTGCATTGTGATTCATGTGGTGCAGACTGAGTCGTCTAGGCTTTAGTTTTCTCATGTACCCAACAACAAATAAAATTCACTGGATATACTTTACCATCAAACAGTTTCTTAGCAACCTAAAAGAGAGACAACCCTTAACTGAATCAGACAACAGAGTTAAATTCAGAGAAGCCCAATTGAAAGGCGATCTTACAAAATATCCAACAGAATCAAAACAAAACAAGAATTCATTTCCAATGTGCACATTATTCAACATTTGATCCCAAACAAGCTGTGAAGCCCCGCTAAATTAGCATATTCTAATTACGGAATATCCCAAGGCTTAGGCTCAGGGACAGCAACAACCATACCTTGGAGATCCTTGGTAAGCACAACCTGACAGCCCAACCTTGAATGCTTGTTCAAAACCCTAGCTCTCGAATTCCTCTTCAACACATACTCCTCGTCATAAGATCTCGGGGGCAGCCTCTCGAGCCATTCCTGGGCGATGTTGACCTCGCACTCGGCGGAGCAAGCGTCGATCTCCTCCAAGCGGTGCGAGGCTGGGTCGATTAGACCGTTGTTTATTAGGGCTTTGAGGAGTGTTTGACCTGAGAGGCCTATGATCTCTCGTTTCTGGCCGTCCGGGTCGATCGCGGAGAGCTTCACGATTCTGTCGGCGACTTTGGCGGAGGCAGAGGCGGTGGCGGTGGTGGTGGTGGTGGTGGTGGTGGTGGTGGCGGAGGAGCGGGTGAGGAGGGATTTGGTGAAGGGAGAGAGGGAAGGGAGGCGGTTGAATTGAGAGGAGAGTCTGCTGAGAGTTGATATTGCCATTTCTTTGCGTGCTTCTTCTCTGTTTTACAGCGTGGGCATGGTGTATTATTTATTATATTGGAACTGGTAGACTATATGCCTGTGTCTTTGGTGAATTGCTGCATTAGTGGGTTTTCGTCATCTTGCCTTCTGTTTACTGCTCGTTTTTTATATTAGTCATATTCAGATGGTTAAATAATCAAATTTTACCATTAGACTTGATTTTTGGGAACCAATTTTGCACCCTTATATATTATATATATATATATATATATATATATATATATATGTTTCAATGATTTAATAGTTATTTTTTTATGTGATTAGCATCTATTGCCTTAGATTTCTTTTTTATTTTGTTTTTCAAGAGTTTTATAATTTTTCTTTTCATATATTTATAACCTAAACTAATTATTTTGGACCTTTAAATTTTTTATAGTTTAAAAATTAAATGTTTAAAATTAAAACATAATGAGCTATGAATAAAAAGAAGAAAAAATGATGAATTATCAATATATATATATATATATATATATATATATATATATGTTAAAATAGCTATCACTGTCTTCTATCTAACATAGTCATTTCACGAATTAGTATTTCAACACCATTTCTATTATTGGTATCCGGTATTGTTAGATTTTTTACCCGTACTACTGCTGTAAGTTAAATAAAATATATAAAATTATTGAGAAAAATTATTTCAATTTGATAGTCTATATAGTGTGATTTTATAAACATATATGAAATCAAATGTGAAAAAAAAATATTTATAATTTTTTAATCAAAAATTTTGTAAATAACTATTTTTTATTTATGTTTTTCATAAATTTTAATAGTGAAATAAATCAAAATTTTCAGTAAATATAATTTTTAAATTAATTGGATGAGAATTTAAAAAAAAATGAAAAATTAAAGTAGTAAATTTGAAATAATAAAAATAATTAACAAAAAACACTAAAACAAAATGGGACCAAATTATAATATAATTAAAGTTTAAAATTGAGAACCATATAATTTTAAATTAATTGGATGAGAATTTAAAAAAATAACAAATTAAAGTAGTAAATTTTAAATAATAAAAATAATTAACAAAACGCATTAAAACAAAATGAGACCAAATCACGATATAATTAAAGTTTGAAATTGATAAAAAAAAAAAAAGTATAGAAAAATTGAGGACCAAAGTGTTACAAAAATGACATGAATAGTGAAAAAATAGTGATTTATGAGTGTGTAAGCAATATTATAAATAGTAAAATATCATTTTGCTTTCTTGTTATATATATATATATATATTAGAAGGATAAAAAAAGAGAGAGAGGCCAAGTGCTTGGAAAAAAAAAAAAAAGAAATAAGGCCAACGAAGACTTTGCCGACCAAGGCCTTGGTCGTTGGGTTCAACAAAATTCAAAAAAAAAAAAAAAGTCAAAAACACTATTCATTGAACGAGTGAAAGTGCTTTGTGTTTTAAAGTATTAATAATGTTAATATTGTCATTATCGCTACCATTGATGCTTACGGGTAATATAACAATTATTACCATTATTATCTATCATTTTTACTAACAACTAACTATTCTTTCCCATGCCATTATTGTAACGCCTCCGCCCTAGTCATATTTTTACTAGCCAAGTAAGGTACTGGATGAAGCTCGTTACGTCGACATATCCTAAACTCTAAGTAGTTCTCTTATGATATTCTTAAAACTTTAACAACACATTACGTATATAACTCCTTAAGATAAAATTTACATAACATAATTAAATACATTAATAAAACCTTACGAGCAATATTCAATTTCTCACAAACTCCATACCCCAAATTTACGAGACAAAATAAAAACTAATATATGGTGCCTTGCATGAGCCGGTTAGGAGGAGCCGACTCGCATTCGTACGAACTTGTCTTTTTTCTATCACGACATAAAAATAACAACGGGGTGAGTCAAAGCTTAGTAAGTAGAGTGATGCACGTGATATGCAATGAAGTTTTTGTTTCCCATTCTACCCATCCATTTTTAGTTCGGGTACCCTAGGTATTAGCAAGTCCGCGCGTTCCATCTCTCGATGATCGTATTATCACCTACTACTCTATTACTCTTTCTCGGTGATTTCAATATCACCTATCGCTCGTAACGAAATTACCCTCTCATTGTAGTACACGGTTAGCGAAATTATCTCTCGCTTAACGGTGTTAGTAAATAGAGCTCGCACTATGGATTCCTTGCTATTACCCATTCCACTCAATTCGGTTATCAAACCGTGTCATTTCATGACTCAATGATTTTTCTCAATTTATTCCACCCCCGATGCACGTGATGCACGTGATGACATGTTTAATCACATTCAACCAAATTCGGGTACCGACCCTTCTTTCTCAAGCCATATTCACGGTTCAACCAACACTCGAGATTCACCCGTCGCTCACATATCAATCATGATACTCATAGCGGGAACACAACCTCTCGCTCATTAATATTGCTCATTATTTTTATTAATATTTAAAAGAATGTCTAAATCTTTTCCTTATTTCATCTTTAAAAGAATAATTTTTTTTTAGAATTTTCAAATCTCTTTTATTTCTATCTAAGTCCACTTATTTTAGTCCAAGCCCATTTCTTTTAGTCTAAGCCCATCTACTTTAAAACCAAGCCTTTTGATTTTAGTCCAAGTCCATTTAATTTATTCCAGGCCCATGAACTTTATCCAAGTTTCTTAACTTAATCCGAAGTCTATTGACTTTATCCAATTCCATTTTATTTTATCTCGTCCAAGTTTAATTGTTGGGTTTTAGGGTTTACTACTAGGCAACTCCTAATCGAGTAAATAATTTTTCAATTTCAGAACATAATTAAATCTTATTCATCTTCTTGTAGATACTAGACATATTAATTTATAACATATCCAAAAATTAGGTCTAAATACCAAGTACACAATTAATTATAAATTTTGAAACTTAGGGAGCAATCTGCCTAGTAGTAGTTTGTCTAAAGTCAGTTCGTACTAAATTGGGTATAACTCTTTGTACACGAATCCAACGACCAAGAAATATTAAAGGAAGTTAGTTGAAACATAGATGAACAACTTTTATTCTTTAATTTTCATCCAAAAATCGACCTAAAATTCTTGACATGCACCCCAAAATTCGGACGAGACTTTACTCCTCATCAACACTAATTTATTAGTTCATTCCAAGCCAACTTTAAACATGTTTTAGTTCACTTAAATTTAGTCCAAGTCTAATCCAACCCATCACCACATACTTGGATATTTTTCAAAACATCATAAATCATCACAACAAGGCATCCATACATAGATTCATCCAAAACATCAAGCATATAACCATTGAAAATTATTACAAACCCATGAAATAAACACTAACAAAATAACTTAAAAAAAATAATTTAAGACATTAATCAACCAAAAAAAAAAAAAAATGGAACCTACTTACCTAGTTTAGGTTTGATTAGAATTTCCTTAGCTCTTTTCCTTCCCTTTTTCCCTTTCTCTTTTTCTTTCCTTTCTTTCCTCTCTTTTGTCGTGTTTCACTCCCTCACAATTGGTTTCTCCCCCTTTTTGTGGTAAGCTATGGTTTTCACTCCCAAAATCAGTCATATATCATACTTTTGCAGCTTATATACTAGCTTTCATTTCAATTATTTTATGGTACACGTGTCTGAAAATAATGAATCAAAGTGGAAAGTAAATGGTGATTAGGGAGGGTATGTGGCTTGTTTAGCTTAAAAGAAATGAGGAGTCATCAAGTGTAATTAATAAGTGAGTCTAGGTGTCTACTTGGTCTCAGCTAACTCATTTCAAATTGTTTTATATATATATAAAATTTCTTTTTTGGGATTTTCGAAATTCTTTTCTCGAAATTCCAGCAGAGTACATTTCAAAACGACCCTCACCATAATGGACATAAGTCTGAATATATGAGTCCAAAAATTATAAAATTTTATAGAGAGCTAGTCAACATATAGAGAAACAATTTTAATTCTTTGAGTTTTACTCAGAAATCACTCTAAGGTCCTCAAATAAATCATGCAAACTTCGGACAAAATCTAGCTTTACATTTCGAAAAATTTCTTTTAATTAATTTGGAAAATTTTCCAAATAAAATCCCAATGTTTCTAAAATTGTAAAATAAATTTCTTATCATTATCATGCATTCCAAACACTTAGAAATACCCCAAAGGATAATTACCTAAATTATCCAAAACGTTTCCTCCCGTTATTTTCAACATAATCGTCGAACATACCGTCATAAAAAAAAACTCTTTTGAACCCATCCATACTATTACTTATACTCCATATAAACATGTTTAGAAATATTTTAACATGTGTAAAAATTTCACGGGGGTTACAATTATCATCAACATCACCATTTTTGTTTTTTTTTTTTTTTTACATATCTACTATTGGAATTAGCATGTGGCCACCATTGCATTCCTCCTCACTAGCAAGAATATTATCTTACCATTAACTATTTATTTTTCTCAATTTATCAAGAGAGAGTTTAATTAAAAAACTATTAAGAGTATAAACATGTCACGACCTTCGAAATTGGTTATGAATGATAGGAGAATCGAGGGAACTATGAGATCCATATCGACTCAAGTAAGTTTTGAATATCTAAATCATAGTTATCATACATGTAATAATTAAAATATTTATCAATTCACAATATCACAACCTAATCGAGTCAATTTTTCTTAATTTCAACACAAATTATAATTCCATAATATTTCGCAAATCCAAAATAATATTCAAATCAACAACCTAAGACGACTCTCATTTAATTCACCATATCACAACCTAATTAGTCATTATTTTTTAATTCGTACTCAAACTATAGTTTCATAATACTTATATATAAGCTGCGAGCTCTAAAGTGTACAACAATTTGAAAATACTAGTTAAAAATATTACAATTAAGCGAGCCGCACAAACATTGTGTCGACCTCAAAAAAATCGATTATGAGAAAGTCAACAAATAATCTCACAAACCCTACAAAGCCGAGATAGTATTGTGTGAGCAAAACAATGGTTGTGTGAGCAAAACAACGATTCGGTAAGTAGATAACATATAATGTGATGAAGAGAGAGAAACAAATCAATGAATAGTAATTTAAAACATACTCAAAATGCAATGGATATTTTAAACATCGAATCGTATCTCATATTTTCAAGTCATTTAGAATCATAATTAAAATCTCATATCGAAATACTTATAATCAACTCAAATCATGTCATGTATTGAAATATACATATAGGGTGATCGAGTTATATCGTATCATTGGATGTGAACATCCAAAGACTACGCCTCCGTAGCTAGGTATACCATATATTAGCCAATACAAGGGCTAACACCATACCTCTTTTGCTAGCTGGAATATTTTGTATCGGTGAGTTCCTAGGCTATGCCTTTTGTGGCTATGTATATGTACTCCAAGTTAGTTAAACAAATCGAAAATTGAATAAATTCATATATATTTCAAAAATATTCAAAACCAACATATCCAAATACAATTCATGCTCATGATCAAATTTGGTAATGCAATTCAATATCAAATCACATAATCATAATCTAAGCTCAAATCAAAACTCATATTCTAAATTATAAATCAAATAAATCAAATACTTACTTAAATTATACGAATAAAATCAAAATCAAGAATCTTAATCAAACTAGTAATTAAATTCATAAAATTAAATCAAACCTTAAATAAAACTCTTATTCAAAATACATAATCAAATCTTTTTTAGAATCATATCGAATAATTTTTTATATCAAATTGTTTCAAATTACACGAGGAATTTGTCCTCATCTAAATTCTAATGGATGTGATTGTAATATAACTAAATCAATGATTTATGTCCGAGATTTCAAGAAAACTTAAAAAAACATGATATGCTATGTATTATCCATTCATAGTGCAATCGGATGATCAAATAAAATCAAGGTTGACGAGATAGAGTCACCCACTCTAAAAAATCTAATAATATAAAATAATCAAATAATAATTGATATCACATGTCAAGAAATAATTCGGAAGCAAATATATTATCTTAGAAATTGAAATACAAGACAAATTATAAGAACAAAATTTATCGAAAATACTTAAATTGAGAATTTTTAACTAAGCTCTTACTTTCCCAACCAATTCTAGATAATCACCCGACAACTATATACGAAGTTGATTATACAATTTTTCTCTAATAATCTAATTTACATTTTACTACAACCAATTATCAATCATAAATTTTTAATTTAATCTTCACACAACTTGTCTCTATAATCCACCATCAACTTCCAATTCAATTGTTTTCACAACTTACCTTTACAATCCATCATCTCAAACAACTTGGGGATTTCTTAAACCCGTAGTCTAATAATCAATTTCACACTATCATTATCTCATTTCAAGTATCGAGTTAGCATAAATAATTATTAAATCATCAAATCCTCACATTTAATTAAAATCCTAACCCTAACCTATCTCAATTTTTATTCCAACAACAAATCTAATACAAAACAACTTCAAGATTATTAATAAACTCATATAAACATCTGAATTTTAAGGAAAATGACAAAAATCTCACCTTTGACATGTCGGTTTTGAAACCCTAATTTCTACATTTCAATTATTCCAAACCTCCCGAGACTTTAATCTAGCTAAATTTTATTTTAATCATCTTGTTTCATGATTTTTTAGAATACTTGGGCAAGGTTTTAGCATAAAAAATGGAGAGAATTGGAGGAAGTGGAGAGAATTTTTGGGTCAGAAAGGAAGGAGAAGAAAAAGGAGAAAAATGGAAAAATGGGGGCCATCCAGTTTTTTAAAGCAAGCTGCCCGAAATTTTATTTTATTGTTATTTTTTTAATCCTTATTCTTATTATTTTCTTTTCTCTTTTACAAGGTTGGATGCTAATTTTTTTTTATCTTATAATAAAAGTTCAGATTTTTAATTTATACTAAAAATGTAATTTTACTTCTAATTAACATATAACTATTTTTCTTAATTCAAGAAAATATATAATTTGCTAACTTTTAAGACGAATTATTACAAAACAAGTATCAAATCCAATTAATTAGTAGAGATCATTCAACTTTTCGATTTAATTTTTAACATTTCCTTTGGGTTTTGCACTTAACCGAACCCATAAAAAAACTATATTCAAATCAAATTACCATTCGATTTTACAGTTTTTCAGTTCGATAAAGGTTCAAAGAATCTAACAAAAGTTTGTCACACGACACTGTCAAGACTGCGGATCCATCGAAACTACCAAGTCATTTACCCCTTGGCCAAGAAAAAGAACAGAAACTAAAGCATTTACCCTGGAATGGTATGATCTGCAATATGGTCGCTGAATCTGATCATGCGAGGACCAAAAATCAACCAAAGGAGAATTTATTCAGAATCAAATGAAAATGCATGAGATTATTTGACTCTCCTAGAAATCTACCGTTTGTTATCATGCTTTGGCACAACCGTAACTTACCATTCATGTTATCATACATAAGTTGCTAATCATCATCTCCAATGCCCAGCAAGTACATGGAAAGGAGAATAATAGATTGATCAGCATGACAATAAAAGTTAATCAGCTGGAGAAGTTAAAAAACGACAAATTGAATTTGTAGCAGTCTCCTCTGAATCCCATTTGTATTACAGAACCAGAGACCTCCAACTTGAACGTTTGTATCAACATATTTTCCGTGGTAGTATGCCTGCGAACACAAACAAAAAACTCGCCCTTGAGTTGAGTTACTATAGCAAGTGAAGTATGTGATAGGAAAACCAAAAGTGCTAAAGTAAAACCTCACAGGCAAGCAATGGATAAGATGCGTAGCTAAAGACCGAAGCTAGGAACACTTCGTTTCCTTGTAAGTTATGTAAACACAAAATTATAGACACCTTCCCACACCAGCATTCATTGCACCACCAAGCATATGCGTTACTAATAACACAAGGAAGGCATGTAGGGAGAAATTCACCAGGTTCATATAAGATGCTATAAAGAAAATACAGGTTGAGCTAACCCCACTCAAAAGATAAAATAACAAAGATATAGACATGGAAAACCACAGATCATGTTCCAGTATGCAAAAGCGAAAGAGAGCTGTCCAGAGCAAAATCACAAATTATCATGCTAATCGTTCCATCAAGCAAAACATTATAAAGGGAAAAGTTGTTATTCAAAATCATGGGCAATCAGGACCAGGAAAATCAGCATCTGTTCAGATTTACAGCAGCAGCATAGTCGATCCAAGTAAGTATTTGAGTTATGTTAAGTCGTATTTTTAAATTAATAGATTTTGCTCTTCCTGCATTCAGTCGCAAAACTAAAAGAAAGGAAATTTACCATAACGGTCAGCTAAGAAACAGGTGAACCACCCAGCTTACAATGCCTTGCCCCCTGATTACTGCTCTAATATTCTCCTCACAGTATAATCATACTACAAAGCAAAAGTCTTCAGTACAGTGTTATTTATGTTATATTTGCTTTTTTGGCAATGCAAAAAACAACCTGACGCAAAATAGTTTTTGAGAAACACCAGGAAATCGCATTTTTCCTTAGAATATGTATTTACACAAAAAGCTATTACAGAACCATAACTATTTGTTTGACTTATTGTTGCCATGCTGTTGATACAATTGCTATCAAGCTCCCTTTGTATGTCCTAAATATAAAAAAGCTAGGAACAACTTGAGTTCTCAAAAACCTAGATGAGACCAGCTGACTAGACCTAAAAAATTAGGATAATAATCCATGGTGGTGCAAAGTCAAGCTCCTTCTGATCATAAGTGACAAAAGCCTAATAACGACAAGTTTGTTTGCATAACATCAAGCTCCTTCTGATCTTCTACTTGATGCTGCATCTAATAGGCACAGGCAAAGGAAAGTTGAGTGCAAAAGCCTACCTCAACCATGGAAAGAGCAAGGGACATAATGGCACAAAAACAAGAACGTACAAAATAAAAATCCATGTCGAGCCAGACTTTGGAATTCCAGGAGCTTTTCTTATGAAAAATCAACACAAGCATAAATTCTTCCTTGAATCTGTAACTCTCGAAATCCCAGACAATCAGATCATCTACTTTGACTGCAGATCTTGGGTATATCCACTCCGAAAGACAAAATCAGACCGCCTATTCTTCTCAAACAATGTAAGTTAAAAGCCAAACTTATTTATATATATATATAGCGCAATCAAACACATACCTGATGTTGCTTTGATAGATTTATCTTCCAAACCAAACACCTAGCGCTTTGCTCGAGTTGAGAAGGTTGGAACTTGTTTGCCTGAGAGGAGATGGAACACAAGAGAGGAAGGAATGGGATCAAATCTATGACTATGATTATTACAACGATCTTGGTTATCCAGATAAAGGTCAGGAACATATTAGACCAGTCCTGGGTGGTTCTGAATTAAATCCGTACCCCCGCAGGGTGAGAACAGGTTGCCCTCCTAGCAGCACAGGTATCCAAATTTTCTCTCTCAGGTGCTGAAGATGACCTGCCACTCATTCCTTTTCCTATTAAATTCCCTCATAGCTTTTTCCACTGTTAATTCATGATTTTCTTTTTGTTCGCTACTTGTGATGACTTAAATATAGAACCTTCAACTGAGAGCCAGACACAAACAATCAGCTTAGATATATATGTTCCTCCAGATGAGCGCTTTAGTCCCAAGAAACTATCAGAATTCACATCAAATTCAATACAGGCTACACTGCATTTCGTTATCGCAGATGCAAAATCATTATTCAAGCAAGATTCCAGAAGTTTTGAGTCGTTTGACGAGATACGCGATATGTTTTCTAGCAAGAGAAGTCAAGCAGTAGAGGGAAAGGTCAAAGAGAAATTGAAGGGAAAGGTCAAAGAGAAATTGAAGGGAAAGGTCAAAGAGAAATTGAAGGGAAAGGTGAAAGAAAAATTGAAAAAATTAGTACCATATGAACATTTCAAAAAAATTACCTATGCAAGCAAAGAAGACCTCATGAAATTCCCCTTACCTCAAATTATAACAGGTAATGCCTCTTGCAATCTGCTCTTATAATTCATAGATCCCAAAGAATAGACGTTCCATTAATTTGTCTAGGCATTTATGTATCTATTTTGGATATACTTTTCAGAGAATGAATTAGCCTGGGGAAATGATGAGGAGTTTGGACGTCAAATGCTTGCAGGAACTAATCCAACAAGAATACAGAGTTTGCAGGTTTCTCTAACCTTCAAAAACTGCATTGGATCTATCACCAGCTTAATACCTAAACCTGCAACATTCTATCCCACTCTCCATTAACCTACCAGAGGAAACTACATTAATAATGTCCTTATATGTTCATATGGCATGAACTTTACATATTCCATATGCATAACAAACATCACGTTCACTATAATAGTCTTAACACAATCTGGCAAGATTCACTATTGTCAGGTTGATTTCAAACCTACAGTACAGTTCTTATAAATTGCTCTTCACAGTTCAACACTGTAGCAGAATGTCACCTTGATAGTTGATATTGAGTCATGTTTAGTCATAAGCACCCATCAAATGTTCTAATTTGACTATACTTCACAGACATTCCCACCAGAAGGCAGAAATGGAGTGAGCACAATACAGACATCACACATAGAGCACAACCTTGATGGATCAACTCTTTTACAGGTAAACATCCACATCCTTCTCCACCCAGCAAACTTCTCCTTTTCCCTTCTCTTTCTCTTGTTTACCCTTCTCCCCAAGAAGAATGATAATGCACAACAAGAGCAATCACAGAACATGCAATTAGTCTGACAAATGAAATTAGGTTAGAGGTTAATGTTAAATTAGAATGGTGAACACAAGTAGAGTTCAAAACTTATAAACTATGCAGGGAAATAATAGAATACAAAAAATGCAAGGTTCAAAAATCTAGCAATAGGGACAGATTTATTAAAACTCATAAGCCAGGAAATAACACTTTTATGTACCAATAAATACTTGAAACCATTTATGCTCCATGTCCTAGATTTATTATTATCCATTACAAATTAAGAGACGGGAAAGATGTTAAATTAAGAACTAAAGCAAGTGGAATAAAATGGAGGAGCACTAGCGATGCACTGTGAGATCATCGAATACTTATCAAGTCGAGGGGAGAATTTTACAGGAAAGCGATAGCAGCCAAATTTTATGCATAGAATGTTGGACAACCCATACTAGGACAAGGGAAAAGAATTCATACATCTGAATGCCACAAGTTTGGAATTAAAAAACTTTTCAGACTGACTTATGTTAAATATATCAATCTACCCTAGGATATACATACCTGTAATCACTATAAATTGTGTCATGAGAACAGAAACATCTATTTTGGAGAAGGTCTAGGATAAGATTATTCACAAAAAACCTAAATATTCATTTGATATCATTATCTAATACAAATCAGACATCAAACTAGAAAGCTAAGATTCAACCACTAAAACTTTCTTGTACCCAAAACCACATGTGCTAAATGTTGCCATCATTTTATGCGAGTAACAGAGATAAAGGATCTGTCTACCATTTAGGCAATGCTAAAGTACATCATAAATTATTCTCATACTCTACTATCTAGAATGTAGAAGGAGAAGTAACAATACTCGCACAATATTATTTTTTTTCTAGGAAATGGCATACTCTTTATAAATATGAGCCTTCGACTTAAAAATTCAGGACAAAGCATGAATTATATTTAATTATTTCATTTTATCGACCTTTTGCCCCCAGTTTGATAGATTGATTTGAAATGTTTATGGCTCTAAGCTATATAGCTTTGCACCAGATCAAGTATCATGATTACTTGATGAGATTAATTGTGAAGAAAGAAATGAAGAAGGCAAAAGATGAGAAAGAAAAAGGCTAAGCAGTGAGTTTACAAAGTGGAGCCTCAATTATGAAATATACTTACACATCAAGCTTGGGTTTCAAAGTATTTTCTCGAGTCTTTTTAAGCCTCAAAACCTTTTCAAATTTATGATGCCCATTAGAAAGCAGCCTTAAGGTAATTAGCCTTCGATTATTATGACAAAGTGCGTAAAAATTATGTCCTACAAGTGCTTTATCGTGAGTTAGGTCTTGGAAAATTGGGGATTTAAGGTTTAGTTTAAGAGATAAAGGGATTTATTGTTTCTAATTGAGTTGGAGCCAAGGAAGGGAATATGGAAGTACTGCTAGCATAATAATAGTAGGGTTTCAAGGAATCACTCCTAGAGGAAGGAAACCCAAGTATCACACCAACACTTCTCAGGAGTCACTCCTAACATAAATTGCTCACACAAAGAGTATAACTGCTGGAACATTCATTCATAAACTCTTACTCTGAAAATAAGACATTACAAGCATAGATACAGAAGACTCAACATACTCCTGATGCTTTATGTAGTTGGATCTCTAATCCAACAAAGACTTTGGAGTCTTAAATAAGAAAACATAACAATCCTATATTAATCTTACTTGATTAAGGACTAACAGGACACCATAATATGTGCAAATAAAAACTAATGGAACTCTAGTCCCACTTGTAGCAATACTCCCCCTTTAAAGGGCCTAAATTCTTATTCACAGAAAAAATATATAAAATAAAAGTCTAGTTCTAGGTATTTTCCACAATTCTAGAAATTACTGATATACCTTGAATGGAGAATCTAATAAAACACATGAAAAACCAATTTTTTTTGTCGCTTGCATCACAGAGTCAGAGCAACAATCACTGACTAGGGCAAACGCTATGCATTTAATTTATAAGAACAACCTTGAAGGATATAATATAATTTGCTTCAGAAAAAGCCATGAGAACTACTTCAGTTCCAAGAAGTTAAAATTTTTCAGAATCTACAGAAAGTACTCTCATGGGAGTACAGAATATCACTTGTCTAAGTTGGAAACTCCTGCACATGTTTCTGACCACACTCCACAACCCCCCACACAACCCCACCCCCCCCCCCCCCCCCCCCCCCGTTTCTCTCCAACACGTGCTCCAGATTTTTTATGTTAAAAAAAAAAAAGAAAAAACCAACTTCACAACTCAAGTCAGACGGACAAAATTGCAGTCTTCTATAGCTATTCACTTCTTTTTAAATATAAATCACAGGCAATGAATGAATGGAGGATATTCATCTTGGATCACCATGACTATCTCATGCCATATTTAAGCAAAATTAACACAAACGGTGTATGTGCTTATGCATCAAGAACACTATTTTACTTAAGAAGTGACGCTACGTTAAAACCATTAGCAATAGAATTGAGCCTTCCCGGCTCCTGTGCGGGCACAGAAATCAGTAGGGTGTTCCTTCCAGCAAATCAAGGAACTGAAGCAGCACTATGGCAGCTTGCTAAAGCTCATGTTGCAGCTAATGACTCAGCATACCACCAACTAATCAGCCATTGGTGAGTTGAGATACTTTGCCAATCTCAATCTTGGTTTTTCCGTATTATTTGTGGAGTTTTCCCCAAAACAAAAATATTTCCTCAGGGGTCAACAGGTAGGCCTTATATAAGACATCTAATAGCTGTTTTTTTTTTTTTTTTTTTTTTTTTGACTGAAATTTCCAAATACATTCTTATATCATTTCTGATTGGTCATAGCAAAAAGAAATACCATTTACCACGGAATATCCAATGCCTCCATTCACTCTGATATGTGCATTTTCCAGGTTACACACTCATGCAGTAGTTGAGCCATTCATTATTGCAACTAGAAGGCAGCTGAGTGTCATGCACCCGATCAACTGGTTGTTGCGTCCTCATTTCAAGGACACCATGCACATAAACGCATTGGCTCGGAGTATCCTCATAAACTCTGGAGGAATTTTTGAGAAGACACTTTTTTCTGGTCAAATATCCATGGAATTGTCTTCTGAACTCTATAAAGAGTGGAGATTTGATGAACAAGCTCTCCCTGCTGATCTTGTCAAAAGGTAATTCATTCCAACGGATAGTTAACCCCCACCCCGCCCAAAAAATCCCCCACGGTACAAGAGAAAAGGAAATTATGAATATAACCATGATAAAATCTGTCAGGGATATACTAAATATCTGTCATGCATTCTAAAGGAAGTGCAAAAAAATAAAATTCTGAATCTATAAAACGAAAGTGAGGATAGTAGAATACAAACACCTAGAAGCAACCTAAAAATCTTAGTGAAACGAGAATTCTTACTCGACCATGCAGTTCTATTGTTCTCTTATAACAAATGATTTTCAGAGGATTTGCCGTTGAAGACCCAGACAATCCCATTAGGGTACAGCTCCTCTTCAATGATTATCCCTATGGTGCAGATGGGCTTGATATCTGGCATGCCATCAAGACATGGGTCACAGACTTGTGCTCACTTTTCTACAAAGACGATGATTCTGTCAATTCTGATGGAGAAATCCAAGCATGGTGGTCGGAGATCCGGAATGTGGGCCATGGTGATAAGTGCAATGAGGCATGGTGGTACAAAATGACAACTCTCTTAGACCTAATAGAGGCTCTAACAACACTCATATGGATTGCATCAGCTCTTCATGCTTCTGTCAACTTTGGGCAATATGCATATGCTGGCTACCCTTTAAATCGTCCCATGCTATGCCGAAAATTTATTCCAGAGGAAGGGACAAAAGAATTTGCCAAGTTCCTAAGAGATCCAGACAAATATTATCTCAATATGTTGCCTGGCAGATTTGAGATGACCCTTGGTATAGCATTAATAGAGGTCCTCTCGATGCACACATCTGATGAAGTATACTTAGGTCAGAGGCCGCTGTTAGAGTGCACTAACAATGGAGTTCAACAAAAATTCAAGAAGTTCAACGAACATCTTCAAGAGATAGAGAAGAAAATTATTCAGAGGAACAAAGATCCCAAGTTTAAGAACAGATGCAGCCCTGTCAAGATCCCATATGAACTTCTCTACCCAGATACATCCAATGTTGGATCCAAAAGGGGCATCACAGGAAAGGGGATCCCTAACAGTATATCAATATAGCACGACTTTTCATTATACTCCAAACCATAATCCAATGATGACTATATGTTGAAAGGAAATAATTAAGAATAGAGTAATTTATGGAGTAAATATAGAAAGTTTGTATGTTACCTAAGTTAGGGAATTCTGTCTCTTTGTACAGCTAATACTTCCTAAATAGGCTAGTCTATTTACTATATATGTAGGCTGTAACTCTTTGTATCATACACAACAATACAACTATTATTCTCTTCTTCCATATTTTTCTACACTATACAATCACTATAGAGGTAATTTCTCCAAAAAAAAAATATACTTGTTCAAAGCATGTTAAGCTCCACAATTGGCCAGGTCTCACCCTGATAGTCATTGCATTACTGAATAACAGGTTCTTTGTTTCTTAAGGATCGAGGGATGGGAAAATAACAAAGATTCAATTTGACAATTATTCAACTAAGGCAGTATGCTGTCAATTGATTTTGTCTTACCTAGACAATCATCAAAAGTGGTAAAAGTGAGAGAGAAAGGGCGAGACCTTATGAGACTATAACATCTGCTTTAGATGTGCATGCAAGACTAACAGTAAAAAGATGAAAGACGGACAAAGTAGAAAACAAAGAACTATAAGATAAAACAAATGGTGCGGCGAATACAAATAAAAATAAAAGAGATATAAGAAAGACATACCAAATATATCACCTGCTACCCAAATACAGAATCATTTTCTCTGACCTAGAGATGTCCCAGAAAACCAGTGGACCATTAAATACTGGCCAATCTTTCAACCCTTCCATCTTCCATCTTATAAAAAACACAACTAATTAGCAACATCGACCCTGAACTGCAAATGCTGCCGAATCAACAATGCCAGGATTGCCCAACACCATATCAGCAACCATTTCTGCAGTACTCAAAGCCTATGGATGAAAGAGAAAAAAAAAAAAAAAAGATGAGTGATTCTTTGTCCAGCAGAAATTTATCAGCAGTCAAAACGATCAAAAAAACAATTGTGAGCTCAATTTCCAAATTTCCAAATACAGGGAGGGAACAAAAATTACTAATCCAGGTTTAAAACTGGAACAATATGGTCAAACTTAACACCTGAAAATATTTTTGCAAGGGGGCAAAAAAAAAAAAAAAAAAAGGGAAAGCAAGAAAGAAAGAAAAACACCTAACCACTGTTCTTCAGTGGAAAAGTGGAGATACAGATATTACCATAGAAAGTCCTCCTCCTTCATGCCCAGTTGCAATGATCACATTCATCAAAGCAGGCACAGGCCCAATCACTGGCTTCCCATCAGGCACTAGAACAGTAGGATGCATTTCATGAGTACAGGGTGATGGCTTAAAGAACAAATTTAAAATCCTCCAGTCCTAGGGGTTTAGAAATAAATTTTTCTTCTATGCAAGTCCTGAAGTACATGGACTTACTATAAGGGCGCAATCCTACTCTCACTTTTCTATCCAAAGTGAAATCTTCGAGGCACAGCTCTTTTAGTTTGGGAAAGAATTCTCCAGCCCTCTTCCATATATTGTTAATAATGGACTCATCCACTTTAGTGCTATACCCAGTAAACTGACGGCTGCTCCCTGAAAGGTTGAATAGTAGATGATGGCCATACAAGCAGTCATTGATTGAACAACATGATCTTATTTTAAAGTGACATAATTATGAAGAAAACAATACACTATGAAGAGTGGAAGATGTGACATAAATATTCAAGATTAACCAGAAAGAGCACACTATCTCTCTCTGTTGACCAACTGCAACTACTCATGCAAACAATATCGTATTAAGTCTCATGAGGTTGTAATTCACCCAAAGTATTGTATGCAAATTAAGATCGATGATATTAGATATTGTGGAACTAAAAGTGCAAAATTTTACCAAGAACAAGGTTTCCCACTGTGTCCATGGTGGCTGTCATCGAAACAGACAAGGTTAGCCCTTCTACAGCTTCTACTGAATCTGAACTTTTGCAATCCACAGCGTCATGTAGATGATCAACATAGCCCATCTCCATCAGGCCATGGTTCAATCTAAGGCAGCTAAAGTTCTCAAGGACAACCAAGTGACCCTGTTAAAAAGATTAAATGCAAAACAGGTATACATTAAGCGGAAGATACAAATATCATCCAAAAAACAAAGGATTGGATTAACAATGCATCATAAGTAAAGAACTGTCAAAATGAAAAAAAATAATAATGAAAAAAAAATTAAGGATATGAAATCACCCATAAAGCTCATGCTTAATATAAAAAGAAAGAACTGGAAATCTCGAGCAATAGTATATAAAGCAAAAGAAGAATCAAAATCTTATGTTATGTGAGGAAAAATCAATTCTCATCCTAGTTCTAACCTTCCGAGGCTTAACAGGGACATTCAACAAAATATTTGATTCTCTAAACAAGTCATGTATCAGAGAGCCGCTCCAACAACCAGCTGCAACTATAAGAGCCTTCTTGCTGTACAACTTATTCTTGGAAGTCTGAACCCCATCAACCTCACTGCTGCTATCAGATCTGTACACATTAGAAATAAATTAGCAATCTCAGAACCTATACCCCCTTTAAACCACAAATAAACACACAGCCAATTCCAAAAGCAGTAGAAATGGATGAGAATAAACCTCAATAAACTTGTCACTGGATCATGAAAGAACTCTGCATATCTTCCTTTTGATGCAAAATGCCTATTAGCCTACATACACATAAACCACACAAGCATCAATTCCGCCACTTGCCAATAGAAAACAATGCCAACTAATTGAGACAAAGAGACAAATTAATAAACCTTTTGAATGAATGCAACAGCACGTTGAGCGTCCAATTGACAATCATCAGGTAGAAATGCAGCCCCACCGTGTTCACCAACCTCAAGCGCAGGCTCCTCTAATCGCAAATCATGACTTGTTAAGTACTCTGCTCTCAATCCAGCTTCAGATAATTTCTTCACCTTCGTTTTCAACATTGCCGCCTCTTCGGCGGTTCTACCCACCAACAAACTTCCTATCATAGTAAAAAGAAAAAAAAAACCACAAACAATATCACACTGCACAATTAGCTAAACATATTAAAATTTTCTTCAGAGACTTTTATGTATAACAATAAATGAATAAATAAATACCAGTCTGTTTCCAGCCTAATTCTTGCATTGGATCCAAGCCTTGGGCACGCACACTCTCCGCAAACATTTCCCACAGCTCGTGGCTTCTCATTGTGAGGTCCCACGTGTCACTCTCTGGTTCCTTGTGCACCATCCACAAGTATCCCTGCCCTGTAAAACCGTCTCAAAGTAAAACAATATTCTTGAAAAAAAAAAAAAGAAGAGGAGAAGAAAAAAGAAACGATAATAATCATATTTTTTTTAAGAAAAGGAAAATACCAGCGCCAGTGGCACCAGAGCAAGGGACGTCCTTATCAACAACGGCAACGGATAGGTCCGACCCGATGAGGAACTGCCGGGCAATGGTCAACCCGATGATGCCAGCACCAATAATTACAACATCGAACGTGCGAGTAGAAGAAGAAGAAGAAGAAGCAGTGATTACAGGCCGAGGTCGAACGCTTTTTGAAAAGAGAGAGGTTTCCGGTTCCCGCTCAACGTGGAGCCGAAGAAAGTTGTTTTGAAAGCGACGACAGGGAAATGATTCCTCGGAAGTGAAATGACGTCGTGGTTGAGTGGATTAGAGACTCCTGACTGTATTTGTAGCGTAACGGAAGCCATTTTTTTTGCTTTGATAGGGATTGAAAGTTGAAGTAGAACAGTAGCCTGGAAGAGGAGGAAGAAATGCTGTTGACTGCACACGACTCTCGAGAGAAGGAAGAGAGTGTCAGTAGCCGGGAGACAGAACTGTGACGATTTAATCGTCACAGGCGATCTCTCGCCGTTGATATTTATATTGGAAGAGCTAAACCGTTACGATTACCTAATATATATTTATTGAAAAATTATAAATTAGTCCTCCTTATTTCAAAAAACAAAATAATTATTCTCCCTCGTTTTAAAAATTATTTTTTTAATTATTTAACTAGTATTGATCATACTTAATTTAATATTATTTTTATTTTAAAAAATATTTTTTCATCTTTTTTTTATTTTTATTTTTTTATATTTATTAAAACAAAAAATTAAAAAAAAAAGGAGTAAGAAGAAAATTTAAAAATATAAGAATTAAATAGTTATTTTTTAAAATAAAAAAACTAACTAATTTATTTTTCAATTAGTCATCTTTATATAATCAGTTTCTCTTTTTATCTTTCTTTTCCTTCATAAGAAAGAACATTCTCAACTTTTCCCTTTTATCTTTTTTTTCAAAACAAAAAGGCAAATTGCAATAAAGTTTTAGATATTGTGAAATTAAAAAAAAAATCTAAAAATTTGAATATTTGACAAAAACCTCAACATTTTTAAGAAAAATATTACGAAATTCTTCTCTTATACCTCAAATGCCCTTAATTATTTAAAAATCATCCCTTTAATAGAAAGGAAGGTTTTAAAATGGTAAGGGGATTTCTGTAATATATTCAAACTTCTAGTGGTCTTTATAATACCATGATACATTGAGAAGGCTATTATAATTTACGCAAGGAAAAAAAAGAGACAGGACATATTGCAAAATTTGCAAATACAAAATGTGAAACTCATCGTACAGTTCAGGGACCAAACTGCAAAAAGCCTAAAAACAAAAATGCATCAGCTTTGCTTATCATCTACATGGTGTCAGCTCATCCGATAGGTAATCAAATCATGTGCTTCAACATTTTTGAAGTTCCCAGCAGCTTGAAGCCTAGCTAGAGATCAGATAGAAGTACCATATTGCTCCCAAGCTAGTTTCTTCTTTGATAAATAGGTGAAATTCTAGCTAGCTACACTGGTCACAAATAAAAGCTAGCTAGCTGCACTGGTCACCAATCCAATAAATAGAACACTAAACCTCAGAGATCATCCAAGTTAATTGTCCATTCAGTGCACCAAGAACTATCCGAAGACTCCGTTTTAGAATCAGATTCCGAAGCACTGTCAGAGTCGGCCAAGGTTTTGTCTAAGGAATCTGCTAAAGTTGCCTCCCATATACCTAACCTACAAGCTCTACTGTAAGTCTCGTATCCTGCAGCTCTTAGACCTTCTGAAACCATCTCCCTCAAAGGTCCACGCATGTCTGAGCAATTATTCATTGTATTCAGAAAAGTTTTAGACAACCCACGTTGCCAGAAAACCACGATGGCACAGCTGTTATCTACTAATCGCACATCAAATTCCTCGAAGAAAGCTTCATGAGACTCTTGGAGCAGGCTCTTTAGCACCCCAGCGGTCACCCTATCCCTAAATCCCCACAAGAAAACCAAATCCTCACAGCTCACAGTTCTTGTGTTGTTAGTCCAAATTTTGATGTCTCCATCTATTGGTTCTTCGGAAGCAGTAGAGAATGGACTGAAAATATTTGCATAAGCTTCGAGGGCTGAAGCCCTTTTTGCTTCATCTGATTGGACAGAAGCAGGATCGATTTTCAGTACACTGCATAGCTTAGCAAACAATTCACAAATCTTCACAACATTTTGCCCATGAATCGTGTCTTCATTTTCCATAGCTGAAAAGATCAAATATGGTGTACATGAATTAAGTATTGGACCAGACAGTCTCGTGGACAAGACTAATGATAAACAAGTCAAGTGGTATCATTTACCAAAAGAAATTTCAACTGCCTACTTCATATTGTTTGGAGATCAGGCAAGAAAACAGAACCTACAAGCTATAAATAAGCAATTCATAAATAGACTTCTGTAACACAGACTTCCATGAATCCTCTAATCACATAACAAATGTCGACCTGTTCATGAAAAAAACAAAGAGAGTAACTGACCTTGGCGTGGAATTACCATATCAATGGGTGTAAAGAACTGATTCTTCAAGTAAGAAATAGCTACAGGTATATTAGTAACTTTTCTCAGAGGACCTATCTCCTTCATCAAATGGTTGACATCAATTACCATGGGGAAAGCCAAACGCAAGGAGCACATAAACTCATCCACTGTAGGAGGTAGGCCAGCTATGAATTTTGAATGAATAAATGTTAAATCTGCATGTAGCAATAGCGTTCTATGAGATTAGCTGGAAAAAAAAAAGACACTTTATTTTCAGATAAACAGGAACTTGAGTTTAGAGATATACACCATTAAGGGAACCATAAACGACAACAGGCTTCTGAGAAGCAGAAATCAAATCGATCACCTCGCGAAAGCCACGGACTTTTTTGGTTAGTTCCTGTTCGTCATTTTGAAGCTTCCTCTGTCAATCAAACAGCAATTACATCATTAAGCTTATAGCTTGACCATGCTCATCACCAAGGATTGAGATATAGATGCTACCAGAAGAAGATCTTTATCCTCCTCTGAACTCGTTAAAACAACACGAACTGCCTGTGTTACTCCACCCTTTGCTGGAACTATTAGAGGAACAACATCAGCAAATTCTTGCAACAGCTGTAGCCAACAAACATACAAATTCAAGATATTATTGCAAACAAAAATTGAAAGAAAAAAAAAAGAGTCTAATTCAGTTAAACCAGCAATAAGGAAGAGAATCTCATGCATCATTTCTAGTTGAAAAATTCAGACTATCATTTCAATCTACCTCAACCACAACTTGCGCTTGGTGTTCACTGCAAACATCTATATTCATCCATGGTCTTGAATCATACTCTTCAGTTCCTAGAACGAGTTTTCTTAGGGATCTCACCAGAGCCTCTGGAAACGAAAGGGCAAACTCATAATAAAATTTGAAAAAGAAAGGGAAAAATGACATAGTTAAAACACGCAGAGTTTGCTTACCATCTTTACTTGGGCTAGTGCATTTATACGTTTTTTTCCAATTTTTAACACGTGATTTAATCCTTCCAATGAAAACAGAGTCAGCAACAGATGGGGTAGAAGTGGATTTTGTCACATTCTTTGCAAGTGTTGGATTCAACATCTGATTTTTTACAGCAGATTCTTGCTCTCTGGACAAGTATGAGATACCTATCAAATCCAAAGAATCACATAGATTTTCGAAAACAAGCTCAATACATGGAGGCAGCAGATTCTACTTGACACTTGTCATACTACTAAAAGGATAATTGAATACATGTGCTATCTATTTCAACAGGTCAATAATAAACGACGCACAGCATCTCTTTTACTTTCACTAGGCTAGTGCCAAGTCGTTAATACCAAAAATAACTCCTCAACCTTATTGAATGAGTTGAGTGAAACAAAAGGGCAGTTTTATCTTCCTGAACAAGAGAAAGCATCTTAGCCTCGAGCCCCGGGCCTAGGCACATTTCTAATTTCTTTAATTTAAACAATCTAACATATTAAAAGATTTAGAATTTACAAGAAAGAATTAGAATCCAAATTTGGAAATGCAATTCAACTTAAGAGTATACGTACCATCATTTATCCAAGAATTAAAGTCAAAACCTTGGCGAGCCATAGACCTTAAACTGGAGGTTTGACAATAAAAACTGCAAGAAGGCATTTCCATCTTTAGTTCATCTCTTGGGAACAAATGAAAATTATATCTGCACCAAAAGCAAAACACAGTTGTAGTTCATCGTCAACTCTAAACATTAACAAAACATAGATTGTTTAAAGATTGATGTACTAACGGGTAGGCAGTGACTTTAGAAGCCCTGACAGTGAAGGGGCAAACAGCGAAATGAAGAACCTGGAACCTTTCGGCGGCATGCTTGGCTTTGAGGTAAGCCGTGTCGGCGGTGTCGAAAGGGGAAACACGGTGCCAAGGGGCGGAGAAGAAGCCGGTCTTTTGCAAGGACACGGCCACAAACTCGGAATTGGAGATATGGGATTTTATGTCCTCAAGAGTGTCAGCGAAGTTTGATTTTATGACTTGCTTTATGCTCCACTGCTGGTGAGGATTGCGGTGGGTTTGAGTCGCGCCGAAGCTGAACAGACGCCTTTGCAGCAGTGGACGGACAAAAACCATCTTTTTCTCCTTTCTTGGGCAAACCAGGAGAGCAAGAGCCTAGAGAGAGCCAGTAAATCAAAGTGTGGGCTGCTTGCTTATAGTTGATGAAATTGAATTTAGGCCATGACCCAATGTTTTCTTGGGCTATTCTAGGCCAGGCCGAGAAAGATTTCAAGAATTTCTCGCTTTCCCTTTTTTTTCATTTCTCTTTCTTTTTTTCTCTTTTTATGTTCTTAATTATATATGTGTGTGGCCTCTTTTGCATTCATGGTCTTTCCTATGTTGTCATAAACTGTAATCTGCCATTGAAGACTCAACCGTTTTTACAATTGCATCTGCTTTTTTTTCAGAAGTATGTATTGACCCGTAAGATTAAATACTTTTGCACCCCTTCGCAGTGCTACTATAGTACATTCTATGCTTTTTGTTTTGAAAATCTAAATTTAATCCCTCAAAAATAAAAAAAAATTAACATTTTTCCAACGACAAGTTTCATGCGTCGAACTCAAACATGTTGGATTCATCCATATCGTCAATCATTTAAGGGTTTCTTTAAATATAGATACGTTAAAAAACTATCGAAGAGCATCATGTGGGTAGTTAACTACACAACTCTCTTATTGGATTTCAATCATTATTATTTTTTTTTTTTTGACAAATAGTGATCGGACCTCAATTTGGTTATAATTAAAAAATGTCATGATTAAGATTCGCTAGAAAAAGGATTTGGCCTACCAATGATATAAAAAAGGGTTTGCATCTAATTTGATAAACATCAGCACTTGGACAAGCAAAGCACGAGATGCATTCAATTGTAGTTTAAAATAAAAAGTAGCTGCTTTACAACAAAGTTGTTCTCTGCTAGATGAATTCATTCATTTCTCTTCGTGTGAAGAAATCTACTGTTCAGTTCTGACTACCCTTGAGCCATAAGCATTGAAAGAACACCAGACTTAAATAGACAGCCATATATAGATAGCTAACAGCTATATAGTTCTTGATCAGCCATATATATATGGTTATCTTTTATATTGGTTTCCCTGCCAGAAAACGGCTGTAGAAATCTAATGCCTCTCTTGGTTTGTATTCTGGAACAGTATGCCCAGACCCCTGCACCAAAAAGATAAATCATATCAGGACAAAGATGATGAACAATGGAAGTCACTACATTAAATAGGAGTAAGTTGTGACCTACCTTTACGGTTAAGAAGGTTAAGTTGTTTGCATAGCCTTGAGTAAAACTGCAATCAAAATAACACGCAGAAGGTCTTTCATTGTTACTCAAGAAAAAGGGTGTGGAAAGGCAGAAAGAAAATATGTTTTCCGTTTTCACTCGAAGCTTTTTCACCTAATGTTTTGAACTTTATGATTTCACCACTCAAAAAGAGTCTTATTAATTGGAAACAAGCTAAGGTAGGTCCTTTTCAAAAGAAGGTGATTAAAGAAAGAGAAAATAAAGTACCCAGCAACTTGTCCATTGGAAGTCCATGGCCTCCATTCATCCACTATAGCATATCCCATTGATCGCGTCCATGCTTCACTCCCGGTGTAGGGAACACACATATCATGATCCCCACTACAAGTATAGCAATAGCAGTTACTATGTATCATCTAGATGTTCAAGGAGTAGGAATAAACAGTGCAAGGCAAAAGTGTAATGATCATCTGATCCATGATGTCAAAAAGCAGAGAAATACAATTATACAGATGGGACCAACAAAAAACCAGTACTAAATAAGAACGTTCAAAGTTATATATCTTCATTTTCTGTTTACATAAGAAGAAAACAATTAAAATTAATCTTACAATTTAAACCCCTTTCCTTTCGTTTATCATCTTATCTAAGTCGGTCATTATCTCACCAAAACTAATAAGAACACAAGTTTGAAGATCATGTACCTGAATATGAGTGCACGAAATCCTCTCAAAGTAAGGTTCCTGTGGTACTCAATCATGCTACCAGCATCATGATAGAAATGGATTCTATCCGTGCACAACTCCCAAGTAACAGATGCATTTTCCTGTTTTGTCACAAGGTTTATAAAAGACAGTAACTGCTTTCAGAATGTTGTATAACTGACAAAATTGAGCAAACTTACTTGTTCAGCATGGATTGCTTTCCTAACTGCTTCATTATTCAGCCATGACGTAGCAACTTCATCATCCTAACAAAATGGCATTTCAGAAGAATCCAAAATGTTAGCAAACAGATAGGCAAATGTAAACAAAGAAGATGGCACCATGCACATAGAGAAAGCATCAGGTGGGTATAGCTAGCTACGAGAGATTGGCCAAAGGAACCAAGAACATTCAAAAAAGAAATTTCTTCTTCATCATTTTGGCTTTTGTTTAAACAGTGACGGCAGACACTACACACAGGAATGTTAATAGTAGAATGAGAGCACAATAATCAAACAGTAAAATTTCTTAAGGTTGAAAACTAAACATATTGAATTTGGATGTAGTTTCAAAGTAGTTGCACCATAACATAGATTTCATAAAGTTTGCTCATTTTGATTGGAAAATGAACATATAATGGACTGTTTTCATGTATCTCTGTCCAACTTCCAGATAAAAATAAAAAGTTGTTTTTGATTGTTTCGGCAAGCATTCTATATTGCAATCTCTATTTATTTAAGAACAAAAATTTTCACCATAAGATTGACAATCAAACTTTTTTAGGCTACCTTGGCCCATAAAGCTTACGACTGTTTTCCTCACTGGCATGATCCTGGCCTTTGCAATGAAAAACCAAAAAGAAAGAAAGAAAGAAAGTTGCATCAACTAATCTTGTTGCAAAATGGGGCCACATCTATGCAATTACAGAAACTTCTTTCGGTAGCCTCATTACTTATTCAAGTGGCACTCCAAATTTAATTTATTTCTATGAAAAGTAATTTTTATTCACCATCCACTGCTGGTTTAAGTTCAAAAAATAAAATAGCATCAAATGTTTCAACAATAACATTCAGCAAGTCCAGATAACAGACAAGCCACCATGGAGGATTTCAGAAACAAATGAGTATATTAATAGATAAAGGTCACAGGATTTAGGACAAATTTATATTGGACTTACAGTGCATGGAACACTCTCGCTATTGAGGATCTGTGGCCAAGTTGGAACGATTCCGGGTCTTACAGGAGCTCTAAGAGGCCAGGCACGGCCAAACATCCTTTTTCTCACAGGAAGAGGCCTTTCAGTCTCACCTAATTGCCGAAAGCTAGACGGCAACCTTATTTTAGCATCTGTAACCTCCTTTATATCTGAGCCATGATAGCATGGTTCTAGAATGTCGTATATGTTTAAACCTTCAACATCCTGGGATTAGTAAAAATATCAAGCAAATGACAGAGCACTTTATCTAGATTATTTTAACTTTCCAAATTATGAGAAATTCACAAGTACCTTTTCAACTTTGTCAAGTTTGCTCTCACAAGTGTCACTGAGTGGGCTGTAGAAATTTCCAGTGCACTCCCTGGTTACCTCCTGCAGCACGTAGCATGCATTGTCAGGAAGCATGTTTAGAGAAAAGAAAGAAACTCTATCTCAGTATCAATTTCAAAACTAATTTAGTTCAATAAAACAATATGAAAATATTAACTATTGTGTAGGGTTTAGTAACGATACAAGAATCCATGGTGCAGATTTCCAAGTATTAGAGAAAGCTAGCTTGATAGAAACAGCATAAATCACCAAAGAATGCTATTTATCTCACCCACCTCAAATAACTCATCTGGGATCAGGCCCATCCCATGTGCGAATGGAACAAGAGCATTGCCATCAAACTCCTCATCAGTAACTCCATTTCCCACCAAATATCCCTGTATAAAATGCCGGCTTAAGTTAGCAGCCATAAATTTTGAATTCAATGTAAGGGGATTTCCGGAATCCATACCTCGAAGTTGAGAATGGGCTTTACACCAGCATCAAGTCCTGAAAAAAGCAAGAATGCATTATAGTCTCGACTCTCAAGTCCCAAAACGCAACTCATAGATTAAAAAAATAAAAAAAAAATACCTTTCACCACTTCATAAGCAAGAGTTGGCACATATATTCCAGCATAGGACTCTCCAGAAATAAAAAATGGGTTGGAGAGGAATTCTGGGTATAGCTCAAACCACTGGTTGCAGAACAGCAAATTACTGATATTCAGTATTTTGGAAATAAGAAAGCAGCTATCAACATACTCAAATTATCCATTTTTCTTTTCCCCTATATACCTTGAGTAGAAAGGTATGTGAATCAGAGGCAGTCTTTGTGTCACCAGTTACATAATCAGTTTCGTTTTTTGAATAAGAAAGCCCAACACCAGCAGGACAATCTAAATATAAAATGCTGGAAACCTGAAATTCAAAGAAAAATGGAGTGATCATTTCTTTTGCATAAATGCGGAGAAAGAGAGACTAAATGTAACCAAAATTGCAAATACTAATTCATGACATTGATAGCACACAAAAGAAATTGTACTTTGGTAAGAAGAAAATTAAGTCAACCTTGGACCAGCTGTATGGATTAAGATGCAGTTTGGGCAGATCTTCCTTTGTTTTTGATGCTTCAAAATTGAAAGGACCTGCATCATACATTTAATTCACAGTTCAAAAACTGACAACTAATTCAATCTACAAAATCAAAGAAACAAGACACAATTGCTTTCAGAGTATGAATTAGTAAAAAAAAAAAAAAAAAATCCAAAACCAATCTCATAGGTGCTGAATAATACGATCCTCCATCCTGTTGGTTGTAAATTAAATTCTAATTGGTCAAATAACCCAAATGATAAAATTGATGGGTTTTAAATTAATGACCGAACTTTTTTACCTTAGGCCTCAGTGCATTTTTGAAAAACTAAACTGATACTAAAAAGTAAAAAGTGGAGAAACAGTTTTATCAGTGAAGAGGAGCATGGCTTCCTTCAATCCCTATATTATAACCAATACAAAACTCCATCGAAGCATCAAAGAGATAATTAAAAAGGGAATCTTGAAGAGATGGATACCATGTTCATATACAAATCCAT